CTCGCGGACCCCAACCAGGTAAGCCTACATCTACCAACATGACTCAGTCCACTTGTTAGTGACTTCATGCATTTCTGCCATGTTTTGGTTTGGAAGGCCTTCCACAGTGTTCCAGACGGAAGCTGCTACCTTGACGTGGTGGTCCAACTTGCCTATCGTGATCACCCAACCGAGCTATATTGGCTGGAACTTATGTTCCTGAAGGTTCTACCATGCCAGACAGGTCGACTGGAGAACGATGAGACTAAAAGCAGCTACTCAATGTTTGAGGGCTAAGTCGTACTACTGACTGCAGAGAGGTGTGACAGCAGTAAGGTGTTCCGCTCGGACAACCAGCATCTGCAGCGATGCTGTATTCTCACAAGGAAGGAAGGGGTTAGAGAAGGTCGACCCTAAATTTATCACACCTCACCTTACCTCCGTCTCCGGTGGTAAGGGCTTTTAAGAGCTGAGCTAATGTTCAAAAAACCCTTAATAAAAAAGCCGCGCGTGACCCTCCTCAAGCAGCTTTTCCTTGGGCTCTGTGGTCACGCTCAGAGGTCTCTAAGACCTAAACTTATCTACCTCCTCAAGAAACAGCCTTACACGGTGTAGGCAGCCGGGAAGTGATAACCGCCCTCATACCCGTAACAGCACGCGAGATCAAATCGGTCATAATCAAATCCTTCTTTCACCCCCTAATATCTCTATCTCCACAACTATCCTCACATTCTTTTATCACAGTGCACAGCTAATGCCGACGATGCGAGTTCCCGAAACGTCATTCCTGGTCTCCTGAAACCTCGCTCTAAATTACATGGCAACTTGAACTGATGTATGTAGGTACCAAGTTCTACGTTGTAACTGACTGACTTTTGAACAAGGGAAAATTGGCAAGATCATAAGAACGTAACAACAAAAGACGTGAGGTTACTAAATTAAAATTTAGATATTTAAGTGATACAGACACACAGAAGCTGCGTTACATGTATGCAATTACTTTATCCTGCCAATCCAAAATTTGGAATACAAGAAATCACAACTATGCAAAATGTGGATTTAACTGTTGTAAAAAATGTCACCATCGGAGAGATGAAAACTAGCGAAAAATACGGCTTTTATTGCATGTTTACTTATCTTGTATATTGTCCGGTCGACCATCAGAAAAGCAAATCCTGATAGGGTATGTTAGGGGGTGTAGGAGGGATTCAATAGGAATGTAAAGTTTACAATATCTATGAAAAGTCATAAAATTATGTACTCAAAAGTACGTAAACCAGTTCTGTCTGAAACATGGTCTCTCGTGGAGCTAACTAACAAAAATCAAGAGTAAACTCGTTAAAAGACGTAGATACGAAGATGAGTGAACTCGTTTGTTTATTTACGAAAAGCACTAATAGAATACCCAAGCAGGAAATGGATCGCGATTAAGACATGAGATGAAATAAATCACAGACAGACAGATAGACAGACAAATACAACTCAGAACTTCGTACGTACGTACATCAAGTTCAGGTTGCCATACCGCATTAGCACACAGACTCAACTGTCATTTATTAAGAAATAAATGGAAACCAGATATATAAAACATTAGTCAACAACTTTACGAAATCTACTATATTGGGCTCGAAAAGTGACCATAAATCCTGATCTGCAACAAACGTTAAGTATTGTACCGGTCAATAGTTCACATACATTAGTCAGATGACGTAATAAAAAACATGTCACCATGTAATTATGGTGAATGATTTGTTTACAAGTACGGCTATATTAAGGAACTGAAAGAAACAAAAAACGATCACTCAAACTCGTAAACCGTATAACCGGTCACATGAAACTGACTATCAATTTTTAGAAAAATACCAGTAAACCAAAATATCTAAATGTAAAGAAACATATTCCATGGTATGAAAAACATCCAACGGAAGGTGGATACAAAAGAAACAAATACATCGATAAATAATCACAACGACTAAGGTCGTAGAATAATAGTAAAACTTGTTGGAAAGAACTTGACGGTTACCTGGAGATTTTTACCAATAGTCCCCAGAGCGTGTAGGCTATTAGCATCTGTTGGATCAACCCATGCTTCGACTCTTGAGAAAGGTGGGATTTTTTGTACATCCGGAGGGTCAATATCAATATTTAAGCAAATCACCAGAGCAACTGTTAAAGTTTTGATCTATTAAATGTAAATTTGTGTAGTTGGATTACCTTTTCTTTATGGTACTTTTCCTGATACAATACTTGTCCCTCGATTTCTTCTGTTAAATGTCGTGAATTAAAAGCAACAACTATGTCTTGTACAGGATCATTGTCTGTATCCGAGTCATGAAACTTTTCAGAGTTTAGCATTTTTCATACTAAGCTTATGTAACGATGATAAATCCTTTACTTATATCTCTGATGTGACTGAATACGTCTAGACCGTTCCTTTTGAGTGGATTTTCGTATGAATGGGCAAGCAATGTGAGACTTTTGACCTTGAAGCCGCAAAATTTTGACTGAGGAGGCAAAAAATCCTGTGATGTACTTTGTACAATTAGCGATCTCGTGAGCAAACGTATCAAAAATTTATGTAAATATACATTTCAGAAGAAAAATCCTCATTCATATTATCATCTCTGACTTCAAGGCTATTAATGATATCCCGATATCATGGACAAATCGAAGTTAGACCCGTTCATCCCTAGAGACCGCGGCTCATTTGTCTAGAAGTTTGGAATTAAAGCGCGGAGATGAAGGATCTGAGATCGCAGGTGTGTGCTACTAGTTGGTTGTATATCGACACGTATTGGCTCAACGTCCAGTCTAGTTTAACTTGTGATGCCGACAAAATTTAACAATCCACATCCTTAATCCCACACTGAAAAAGAAATTGCTTTTTCGTTGGAGCTGTTGTCACTTTCAGTATGTGCATTACTTTCAAGCCCGAGGCCTAATCAAAGTATTTTTTGGACAGATGAAGTTTGACATGGCTGGCACACGTGATCCGAAAACCCTCTCTTGGTTATTGGCCTACATTCTCTTCGGGTGTTCGATCACTAGGGTTAGACAACCTTACGACTCTGAAGGAGGTATTGTATATTCTGTATGCAAAAATGTCAGTGACATGTATGAGTATGCCCACGAAAATTTCACCAAATATTCATACAAATATAAATAAGTTAGATACTTTATAAATGTTAAATCATTTGTATCCCATTAACTATTCGATCATGCTGAAAGCTACAGGATTCAATACTCGTACCTCCTTACGTGCATGCCTTCCTGTATGAGTCTGTCTATAAGTCTCCTTTCTACACGTAATCTTATCTATAAACTGGTTTACACTTAACTAAACCTGCTAAAACCATTTTCATTTGACCTTATGTTGTTCTCGCTGGAACATACTCTTCTAAGAAATACTACTTTTCCATTGCAGCCCTTTTTCTTTTTCCAACGCAATCGTCATCTAAGTGTGATTAGCTAGTTTAACAGGCCACTGAAAGACTTATTATTTAACTGGTAAGCAACGTATTCAAAATAATCTGTCCTGGGTGGCTTGTAATAAAGCCCTTATATATTAACTTAGCGCTTTTAGAAAAGCTAGACTTGTTCGTGAAAAACAGTCTTCTTCGGCTGAAGAGACCGAATTGTGGTTTGTGTAAAACTGAGATACGGCAGTATTAGTATCATTTTGCTGCAAGAATTCCACACGAGAAGACTAAAAGTTACTAAACACAACTTCGTTTCACTCGACTTTTTCATGGTGTAAACTATTATAATGCAAAGTGATGTATAATGGCTGTGATATTTCAATCTTTTTTCTTATAAAAAGTGATTACGATTCTGACTCTCCGAAGTCGTTATCAAAATTGTAATTTGGAACAAATGATATTTAGTGGTCTTTACTGAGTTCGAATTTTCTCATTAATTTTATGGCTTAACTGCTTAGCGCCTTGTAATTCACTTTGAAAGTTTGTCCTTTATGCTCTGAGAAGTGGTCGTAACATATCACTCAGAAACAAAACTATTGATTACCAGTGTCCGCAAAATGGAAAAATTGGTCCAGCTAAGATCTCAGTCGATGCCAATGATAAATCTGGTCCCTCATCCATAAAAATCTCAGTGGTCAATCTATCAGGGCATGCTGCCCTACCTACCTCAATTCAGATTTCGGACAGTTTTGCGAACATACAGGTTTCTAATATTGGTTTCCCTGGTAATCCTGAATTATTTTCTACCGTTACGCATGATCGCTTCCATTTCCTTCTCCCTTGCTTTCGTTACCCACCATCGTTTGCAATTATTGCGTAGTCTTTTTATTAGCCTGCGCTTAAGCTGACTTCGCTCCTCATCATGTTCAGAGCCAGACGGGACGCATTTACAAGCATAAATCAGTTCAGGAGGAGCTCAACAGCTCAACAGGATCAACAGCCTCTCCCTATCCTTATGGTTTACCTTACTAGAAGACATTAAGGCTTCTCGAATATCGTTCCAAGCTCCTTACAAGGCCATTTAATTGTTTTTCTAGTTGTTCCTGAAGTATATTATTGGCTTTCTGGTCAATAAACAGAACCTTAAGATGTATCACTGATGTGTCTTTCCCACTCCAGTAAGCCACAAAAAATTGCACGCTCACACTAAAGCATGGTCGGAAACTAAACAAGTGCTCCGGAGCGAGTGACGGTGTTCTATCTATCTCTTCATCGGTGGGTGACATAGATTTGTTCTAGTTGTGGTCAGCGGTGATTTGTCTTCGGGGTTGCCACGTCAAACGATGTGTTTCCTTGTGTTTAAAGTTTGTATTAGCTAGAAATAGGCGGTAGTCTGAGCAAAGCTGCATCAGAAATTCGCCTGTGACCGTCGTTTATTGTTTTGACCACGACAGTGTAAGATCCACTCAGGCGTCTGTTCTTTTCACTTAGTCTACTTACTAAAGCATTGAAGTCACCAGCCGCTATTACTATATCAGAGAGGCTAACTTTGTAAAAGAGGTAAAGAAGCTTCCTGTAAAGCTCATCCTTTACTTTGTCTGAAGTGCAAAGTGTGGAAGTCCATGCAAAGAAAATGAAGAGTCCACGGCGAATGACCATATCTTTCTGTGTCCTTACAGTCCCGTTTATTCGGACAGTTAACAAGCACCCATGAACTCGGAACCAGACTAAGAGAGCTAGTTCTGTCCTACGAATCAATGCTATACCTTAACCACCGACCCCATGGGAAGCTACAGTGGGGCCTCTGGGTACATGGAGCCTAAACCGAATTGGTTTTCTCTCCGGACATGTTTAGGTTTTAATAATCACTGCAATCGGATTCTGTATGCCCATTTCGGAGATACAACAAACATCGATGGCAAATAATTCTACAGTCCTAGCCAAAGAAGCCGTTTGTTTGTGCGGCACAAAACTTGAACATCAAAAGCTTCAACATGTAGTATTGAGCGTAGTTTCGACAGAACAGAAATAAGGTTTCGTGCCATAAAATCGTTTGTATCGGCTGCACCAGAAAGTAAAGGAATGTGAGAAAGTCATGTCACGGAAGTGGGAGGGCTATTAAGAGGCGGAAGGAGGATTTGACTGTGGCCACTTTGGTTTAGTGTGCCATCACGCCTAAGAGGAAAGATGCCACTTCCCGGCTGCATACAACGTGAATGATTATTTCCAGGGGAACCTACTGTAGGGTCCATTTTGGTAGGTTTGTTTGGGAAAATCTTTCCATGTATATATTTGTAATATGTCCTTATTGGTTCTTTCAGTTCTACATTTAGTTTCAATTTTTTGTGCCTTTTTGAGTTCGTTTGTTCCTTTCCGAACTGCATTATGTTATTTGAGCCGATACTTAGATTGGACAACAGCCATACTGGTTTTGTTCCTCTGGCGGTTAATAATAATATTTATTCTCAAATAACTACGTTACAAGAGTCAAGCCAGTTTACAGGCTAGATCAAATCATCACAAATGCTTTCACATTTACTGAAAAATTTATAGCCTTTAAATTAAGTATAAGAGTCAAATTCTGATAGCATATTTACACCTTGTCACTTACAAAAACAGTATAATACAGCCACATTTTCAATAGTAGAGTACAAATGAGGAAGGTGCACAATAGGTTCTATTGGCGATTGGCCGAGATCAATAGTGAATTTGCTGGGAAAGGTCAGTTGGAACGCACTTGATACGAGCAGTGATCCAGACAGTCATGTACATAGGGTGCATGTTCCCTAGAGTCGCCAAGGATTTCCCACGGTGAATGGGGTTCTGAAAAGGAGAAAAGATAAAGAGAGAGAGAGGAAAAGACAGCAGCGTGGCAAGTGTATATATATAACCAAAGCACTACTTAACCTGTCGTGTTGAAGTAGTCACTACAGTAGTAAGTCAAGATAAAATTCACACTGACCACTAAAGTTAAAGTAAATTATGGGAATATAAGAATATGACCCACAGATGAAGGAGTACAGCAAAGAAGAAAGAAGAGTTGTGGAGTGTCAAGTGGAAAGAAGAGAAGTTGAAGCAAGAAGCTGGATTTATGTACGTTGAAATCGAAATTTCAGTTAAAAGAGTAGATTTTGTAAAAAGAAAACATTGATGAGTAAACGTTCTCACTAACTATTATTACTATTACTGAATGCCAACCTCTAAGTCATACTGTAAGCGCCTAAGTAAGCATGTTGCGGGTGTCTCGACAGAATAGCGACCTCAGCATAGTTTTGGAAACATGAACTTCAGAAGTAGCAAGCAAGAGCAACCTCAGTGTTACTGATTAGTCGCCTCATCAATCTAAAGAGCCGAAAGCAAACAAAATTTTCTGCCCCACAAACATGAGTGGGCTGTTTGGATTGGAAATCTGAGCACTCTTCCAGAATTGGAAACACTCTGTGTTAACATTGAAGGAATATCAGTGGTAATACTGTTTAGATAATGATGTATATTTATATTAATGATTATTAATAGAGCCATTACTTACCCAGATCAATTGTGTTGGTTTTCAACTGGGCAAGAAGCGTATCTAAACTTCCTGAAAAGCTATTCTTAAATCCAAACCTCAGTTTAGATTCTGCACCTACTTCTGAAGAATCTGCTGCTACACTGGTTGTCTTCTCTTTCATTTGTTGCTGCGCGTGTGAAAGAAGGTCTAGATTATCTGCGAAGAGCAACTCGTCCACCAGCATCCAAAATATTCATTGTATCCCGTGCTTCCCTTGAGGTGTTGACTTCTTCATAATCCAGTCGACCACCAGGAGAAAGAGAATGGGTGAAAGTCTGACATAGGCCTTCACTCTGAAGCAATCTGTGAGCTTTCCCATATGCACAACCATGCAGTTTAATCCGTCAAGAGAAATAAGTATTTTGTTAAGTATTTTACCCGGTACACCATTGTCTTGAAGAAGAATCCGTGATGTGATGTCCACCACGACGAACAATTTCTCATGTTCGATTCAACTTGGCGTTCCACACTGATCCTTAGTG